AGAAAGAGAGGAAAGAGAACGCCAAGACTGATCATTTCGAAACACCTCGAGGACGAAATGCTGTCTCCCCAATGCGAACGGTTTGTTTCCGACGAGCTGAACAAGTTCAGCAAGACGAAGTTGTCTTCGAAGAACTCGGTGGAATTCCCGAAGCGGACGAAGAGAAGTACGCTCGAAGGCACCAACATCGAGGAGGTGGGCACGAACACGTGTTTCTTCCGTCTCCGTCGAAACGACGTGAGCGATCGGTACAAAGCGATCACTGCAAACATGCCGGTCGGCACCAAAATCTTCGTGTGAATTCTGCGTATTAATTAAAAATAAAATATGCTACATTCTCGGTACTTCGTGTTTTTTCGTTTCAATTTCTTTTGATGTAACCGTATTTCTACCTCGGCTGCCTTTCGGCATACATACCGTCATCATAGTTATATTCTACTTAAGAGCGATACTCGTTGAGTTCGTTCACTCTGACTGTTGACGTCGTACTGTAGAAATCGATGGCGGACGACGAACGGATAAGAAATCTGCATTTGCAGATGGAGGAGAGAAAAGAATATATAGGAGTACTTGAAAAAAGCTTGGCCGTGGCGGCGAAGAAGAATGACGAATTGCTTAGAGAAAGGGTGTCGATACTCGAAGAAGAGAAAAGAACTTTCATCGCATCTGTCAAATATTTAATGGAGTCTGTTTTTTGCCTAACCTATATATTGGTATTGTGGTTCCTGATTGAGTTCATTGTGGAAAGGTATCGAAGTTTGACGAACTGATGGAGCAAAAAAAATGTACAGCATCCAAGATAATAGAAATTGTACATTATTCGACGTTTGAATGAATAAATTACGTAAAATATAAAAAAAAAAAATAATTATGCTCGTGTAAGTTTTTTTGTTGTTGTTATTGCGCTGACATACGTAGAAACATGTAGATCGCCCTCTATAATACTAGGAGATCAGATCTTATGCCGACATTCGCTAAAAAAAGAAACACAAAAGGCACACAAGGTTTAAATTTTCAACCTTTATTGAAACAATTAACAAGGGGTCGCACCTTTCAGAATCGTCTCGCATTCTCTCGCCGTCGATTTCAAGTGTAGGTGTTGGGTGAAAAATTTTCTGTAATATTCTGCGATCCGACGACGGAAAATGTTTTCGCGCAGTTTGTTGGCAGACTTCGAACCGGCTTGTTGGGTTCCCTCTTTTTTGGAATTTCGCATCCGATCTCTGTGTAATTTCGAGCTCGAAGGTTGCATCTTTTTTATGGCGAGCATTAAAATGTTCAAGGAACCGAACTTCTTTTTCAAAAGAGTCAATTGTAGTATCATTTCGGTTCTAATTTCATTCGACATCGTCACCTTTTCCGTCTTGCTATTACCCAACGCACGCAAAACGGCGGACCACAGCACTAATTGAAATGTGACTAAATCTCACTTCTTCTCTACAGAAAATATTGTATGCAAGCAGTTAAACTGGGAGCAAGTTTATGCTTAACAGAACATGCATAGGGTAGTTTCATTGTCTACAGTATATAAATGGTTGAAATAATTGTGTATTATGCCCACGGTACAGTTATTTTAATCACTGTAATAAGTTTGTGAATACACATAAAAGAGAATTGTGTAGTCTATTGCACAATTCACAATCTATATAATAGTAAAAATTATAAGTAATCCAAAAAACCAAATAATAATTCATACATCTCAGAACTTTTACTGCTCCATCTAGAAACCTACAGTATTTTAGTTGAAGAATATCATTTCCCCTAGTCATAAAATACACATACATGTAAGACCATGATTAAACTCCCCCCACTTCCAAGAAGTATTTGTAGTGCAGCTTATTACTAACCATATAAACAATTATTCTCATGTGTGATTGTATACATTTTTTACAGCAGCTAACAAATCACCAAATTGGTCTAAGTTTTGCCTATCATTAATACAGAAGTTTAAAATGGTTGAGTTTTTGAGGGAAAAAATTATCTTTAATTTACAGTGCCAATATTTCTCCACAAGAAAGTCACTCACATTTTGTTAAAATGTATATGAAGCTGTAATACTTTTTTATTTCTTTCAGCCTATAGTTTTGAATCCAAGATTTACCCTGTCAGATGGATGTAATGTTTGACCTCAACGATAGACTGTTTAATTTAACTTCTGTACAGAGAGAATCAATGTACATTTCAATAACAGGCTGTGAAGAGAAGTCTAAAAAATTACTCTGGAAATCTGTTCTGTTGGCCACCACAAACAATTAACTAATGATTATATATGCAATTCATTATATACAATGTCCAGTCAGGAAAATCTAAGCAATGTTATATTGATGATCACAGATTAATAATTTGTAAAAAGGAAGATTATAGGTCTAGTAAAAGGGATATGTGTCATTCACTGAACATACAATGTATTTCAGATTCATATTCCTTGAGGAAAGATAAGATTTTAATATTGGATATAGTTACAACTTGTTATTTTAGAAATTTTAAAAATTCAGAATTACCATTTTTTTTGTGAATTATGATATATATGAGAGGCATTGGCTCTTGAGAGTATAGTAAACATTTGCTTATAAGCTGCCAATTTTTTGCTATTGAATTTTATGTATAGTACTGCATTTTTTTGACATTCATGTGTATATATATATATTTTATTTTGCACTTTTTTTTATTATTTCAGTAACTTCAAAAACATACAAACAAATTATAAGCAAAACAACACACACAAATTATGACGAAAACAAATTTTCTTATGCTATGGTAGTTTAGGGTACTCTCGGCCTATTAGTTAAGTAAATAATGGGATGAAGATATTCCATCTATCATTGAATTGCGTTATTTCAAAATTTGAAAGATAAATATGTTTTTCCAAAAGAAAGTATTCTTTTAAGAAATTTAAAACCCCATAATGGTTTAAAGGAAATTTTCTAAATTTAGCTGTATAAATATAATATTTTATTAAAATAAGCAGCAGATTAATGATAGATAGAGATTCAAAACCAACGAGAATTACTTTCTTTGTAAATTTAAAATGTTGCCCTAATTGTTGAAATAAAAACTGTTCAAACTTTTTCCAAACTTGGTACACCATAGGACAATTGCGTAAAAGGTGAACAATTGTTTCAGGTTCTAGATAACAAAAGGAGCACATTTTATCTATAAAAAAAATCAAATGTTTATATAAGATAGGTCTAAATGGACAATGCAAATTTCTATCAAGATTTTCAAGTTCTGATCCGCATGGAATAATGCGTTTCTTATCCCTTGATACTTTAGAAAATTAATATTCAATTTAAATTCTTTACAAAATTCCTCACCGTTTTTGAAATTTACCTTTACTATCGAAGAAATCGTTAACATATTTTACACCTTTCTCGTACCATGCTTTGTAAAATAATGTGTGATCACCAATTTTAATGTTGTCATTAAACCAAACATTTTCTTTAAGAGCATCATTTTATATCCTCATTTCTTACTTTTACCTTGAATATTTTCCATGCTTTTAGTATATCCCTCCAAAAAGGGTCATTTTTTCAAAATCGAAGTTTACCAAATCTAGGACAGAGGGGCAACATTTAGAAACATCAAACCAAAATAATTTTCCCCATTTAGCATCAGTTAAGTAGAGTCTCCTGATCCATGAAATTTTAAGAGCTTGGAAAAATTCATTAATTTTTATCATTTTCACACCCCCATTTTGATAGTTCTTAGACAGTTGTTCTCTACTAATCTTTTCTGGACTCTTGCCAAATAAATGTATATATAATTTTATTTAGTTGTTTCTTAATGTTGTCGCTTGGATCTGGTAGAGATAAAATCGAATGAATTAATTTCGACAAAGCTAGCGATTTGATAACAGTAACTCTACCCAATACAGTAAGGTATCTTTTAGACTAACCGAGAAGCACTTTTGATATATTACTTATTGTATTATTATAGTTAATATCAACCATGTCTAACATTTTCCGATTCTAAATATTATTTCCTAAATTATAAAAAAAAAAAATCTTACAATCAAGCTATCCTTTTATGAAACATATTTTGTTGCTTAATTTTAAAATCTTAGTGTAGAACATACAAAACCATTTTCGTTTTCGTAATAATCAAAACACCTATTTCGACAACGGATGGCTCGATCGTACAAAAACTAACATAATAAATAAGAATTAAATATCAAGATTTGGAAAATGTTAAAAAAATACAAATCTGACTAGTAAAAACAAAATGGTGGACTGTTAAATAGTATGCCCTCTATCGCCAAATTTGATCAAATTTTTAATTTAAAAATTAAATTTGACCGGTTCTAGGAAACGTAGAACAACGAAATTTCAATTAATAGTAGCAATTTTAATTACTTGATCGATGATTAATTTTGAATTTGATATATAAATATATTAAAATGCCTAACGACGACAAAAAGATGCAGCATAAATGCAAACATTTGTTTTTGTGATCTAATCGGCCAATATTTTAGGCCGTTTAGTAGCTTTATTCATTAATGTGCATGCCAATGTCAATGGCACATTAACAGTGTATTTAGTATATGTCCTGAAAGAATAACTAGCTTTTTGCCAACGTTTGAATTGTGAAAAATAGTCTAGTTTTAAATGATAAAATATATCTTAACCGCAGACATACATGTATAAAAAATATATTGTAAATGGTTAAGTTAACTGCCACACAGTGAATTAAAAAAAAGCCATCTTCATTGGTGGTATTAAGTTCACCAAAAAATAAAATATCCAGGGCCAGGTAGAGTTTTTTGTGAAATTTGATGTGTTCTCTTGTCTTCGTTAGATTCCTCTTCTGGTTACATTTAACCAACAAGGCTGTTGCTCTTTGCAAGTGGAAATGGTGCCGCGGGCACAGCTCTCTGGGATGGAGACGTGCGCCTTAAAAGATGCCATTATTATTATTTAATTGCTAATAATTTTTCATGCGGTATTTAGCTAAATGTTTTAATGTTTTCCGATTAGTGTGTATATTAACTATAATATATTATGTGTAAGATGTGTCATCATTAGCTAATCCTCTTAACTATATAATGCTTCGTCATATTCCACCATTTGGTCATTCACTGCGCTCCATTATCACTGTTTAACTG